TTCTTTTGAATGTATCTTGTTTTTCCTGGACCTCTATACAAAACCATCGGGGTACTGAGGGAGATATTTTAAGCTTTTGCTTCTCCCTCAAATAGAAATGGTTTTGTTTTTAATGGCTACCGAGGCCGGTACCCCCTGAAGACGTCGGCTTCGGTGGTCATATTTTTATTTTTATTTCATTCGTTTCTTGTATTGATACTTTTTTCTGAAATTTCTGCTGCTTCTTAGCGCGTTTTTTCAAAGAAGTTTTATCCTTTTCGAATTTAATTATTTGTGTTTTCTTTCAGCATCCTTCCATGAAAAACATTCTTATCATGTTTCCTAATAAGTTTTACCGGACATAATTGTGGTTTTGATAAGATTACTTGCGTCAGAAGTTAATTAATTGCATTATTTATTTGAAGGGTGACGGTTCGGAGCATAAAACATCAAACATTAGACAGAAAAATATGAAAAATTTTATTTTGATTTTCTCGATAATTTTTCTTCTCAGCCAGATTGTCAAAACTGAGAATGAAAATATTAATAATGGAGAATCCATTTTCGACAGTAAGAAAACTCTTTATATTAAAATTTTCTTTATGCTGGGTTTAATGTTAAATATCATTGATGCTAAATATATTTAAATGATTTCCTTCTCCTTTTTTTCCTTCAAAATTCTTCTTTTTCTTGCTTCTTAGAAAATCCGTTTTAAGTTGATGAAATTTATTTCATTGATTCGTTATTTTTTGTTTCGTGTACTTACGTGACTTTTTAAAAATTCAATTTCCCGATTTTGCTCAAATTCTGTATTTACCGTGTAAAATTACTTTCTTTAAAATGAAAAAAAATTGTATACCTTACAATTCGAAATTGTTTCAATTATTATTAAATAAAATTATAATAAGTAATAAATAAACCTTAAAAAAATCCTTTTGGAATAAAATTATCTTTGGATAAACGAATTTTATAGAGTGCAAAAAGTTTTTAATTCTCTTAGAAAGTTCTCCAGACATGGCGAAATAAGCAAAAAGTAAATTTTACATTATGGAACCCAAACTTTTGACAACTCTCCTGACCAGACTATTCGGAGCATATTTCCCCGATTTTGGCTACTTCCTATATTTTGTGCGTCAGGTATCGTAATCCATAGAAAAAAAGGTTTGTTTATTAGAGATACCGTCAGTAACAGTAAAATGTTTGTTTATTAGTACGTTCTTGTTGCTGATTTCGGAAATTAAATTATCCTTTACATTAATTAATTAGCATATTTGAGGTCATCCTCCTGAACGATTAGGATCGATTCCTTGTGCGTGAAATTTCGATCATTTGATTGAAATTTATTTATTTAAATGATTACCCTTAAGAGACGATTTAAGTAATGGTGAGATTGAAAATATGACAGGGGGAGAGGGATAACGTTTTTACTCAATCTGACTCCCCTTGTTGTAAAATAAAAGAAAAAAACTGATTTATTAGGGGAAAAATAGTTTAAAGTGTCAAAATTATATTTTTTATTAATGATTGAATCAATAAAAAAGAAAGCAAATAACGCATATCTTGTATTCAAAAAGAAGTTCTCATATTTTTCTCTCAGTGACTAGGAAATTTCAATGGCTGTAAGAGAACTCTTGACGAAGACAAAAGTGTAAATGCAGTTTTTTGTATTATAAGGAAAGTTAACAATTAAAATCTACTTATTTCGACAAAATAATTAAAATGCAGCTAATTATTTAACTTACATTTAATATGTATAATTTAAGGAATGTAGGAAATAGTTATAACTTACATTTAATATCTATAATTTAATGAATGTAGGAAATACAATAATAACGAAAATATCACCCATTCACAAAATGGGTGTTGTTTTGGGTTTGTTGGCGTCATCAAGCTTTTCAACTGTGTTCAAGAGTTATAGTAAACAGTGCGCATGCGTCGTCATTGCATGTGTTGCTATGGCGACCGCTATTGTTTGATAATTTTTTCAGAATTCTTTTTTTCACTTTTAATTTTGTTATGCATTAAGTTGGTGAGTTTTTTTCTATTTCTTTTCACCAGCAGGCATTTTTAATGTATTTACATAATAATAATTTAAAGCGTTTTTATATTCTTTTTATTATTAACTCATAATTGCTGTCTTGACGGTGAGTTTAATATGAATACTGAAAAAAGAAGGTGACGTCTTGAGACACGTATATAGGCAGGATTTGAAAACCAATCCGACAACAAACATCAATTGAATCAGTTTCTGGAACCCATGATTTGAAATGTTGCGGCGTTTATCGGAGTCAATCCAGAAAAAAAATCATTTGACCAATGGGTGACCAGTGATCGTAATAAAACGATCCCAATTTTTTTTAAATATTTATTTTAATTTTTATTATCCATTGGCAAAATGGTTCTTGGTTCGGATTTCATGGCATCATAGCGTCATTTCATGGCGTTGATCACCAGTTAGGAGTAAAAGGATCCATTGTCAATGTACCCAATAACTTGCACAAGAAAGTAGACTTCCACGCAATATAAATGATTCATTCACTATTCAAGGAAAATTGAAAAAAGCCTAGCTTTCAAATTGTTTTTCATATATGAACTTGTGAATCCGAAACGGGCGTATGATGCAGTTTACAATCTCCGTCAAACACCATTGTACCAATCCGAAAATGTTAATATTAATCTCGATTGGCTGCTCAATGTCTATTCAGTCATCATGAGATTTTACACAGAATGTGTCCGAGCTGCATTTAAATATGTCTGCGAAATTGTGTACCGAGCAGTTCAGGATTAACAGTTAAAGATGTCCAAGATGAAAACACAATAAAGTTTCTTTTCCAAAAGAAATTTGACAATATTTTGCCAATGTGTATTACCTGTTGTATTACCTGTGATAGCCGCAAGAAGATCAAAATTTTCTTCATTTTTAGTGAATTGCGTTTATAATTGTAACAGCAATTTGTAATTTTTTTTAAAAAAAAAGTCATTTTGGAATGCTAAAATTTTCATATATATTTTATCAATGCATGACAAAAAGAACATAATAAACATTAGTAAATGATGCAAAAAAGATATATATACCATAATTGATTTAGGGATTTCGTTAATAGATAAAAACATATAATATCATGGGAATCGTATCAGATATCGTGGATACATTTTTAAATGTGATAAATCAAAAATGTTCTCAGTAAAAAATATTCTCCTTGAAAGTATGCAGGGAATTTAAAAAAAGAGGAAGAACTTTTCAACATGAAATGTTAGTGTAGAGACAGACCTTTAAATCGTTAAAGATCAATTGTTGGCAGATCATAGCATCGGATCCGTTTCAGGAAGCTCAATGAGCTGGCCTTGGCTAAAAATAGGCTGTAGTGCATTTGAAGAAAAAGAAATAATACAAAACAGAAATATAATTATAACAGCTATTTTGTTAATGCATAAAAACAAGTGATATTACGGATATAATATCCATTAATAAATGATTCAGAAGATACATAACACGAATAAATTAGCGAAGCTATCTTCAAGTAAAATGTTTCCTCGTCACTCGTCAGACATGNCAGTTCAGTCTAATTAATGTCCGATGGCCCATTGACTTGAAAAAATATTCTATACATATGAAATTGACAGTGGGCGGGGCTACCCGACTCTCCCCTATATATCTTTTTTGTATTATTGTATATATATTATTGTATATATATTATTGTATATATATTATTGCATATATACAATTATGTATATATAGATAATTGATTTAGGGATTTCGTTAATAGATAAAAACATATAATATCATGGGAATAATAACTCTTGATATGACCTTACTCTTATCGTATCAGATATCGTGGATGTATTTTTAAATGTTATAACTCAGAAATGTTCTCAGCAAAAAATATTCCCTTTGAAAGTATGCAGGGATTTAAAAAAAAGAGGAAGCTCTTTTCAACATGAAATTTAGTGTACAGACCTTTAAATCGTTAAAGATTAATTGTTGGCAGATCGTAGCGTCTGATCGGATCCGTTTCAGGAAGCTCAATGAGATGGCCTTAGCTATAAATAGGCTGTAGTGCATTTGAAGAAAAAGAAGTAATACAAAACAGAAATATAATTATAACAGCTATTTTATCAATGCATAAAAACACGTGATATTATGGATATAATATCCATTAATAAATGATGCAGAAGATACATAACACGAATAAATTAGCGAAGCTATCTTCAAGTAAAATGTTTCCTCGTCACTCGTCAGACATGTTTTGTTCTCTTAAAATAAAAAAGAATTTCTTTTGTATAGTATGCAATAAAAGAAAAAAAGAAATATATAATAACATAGATTACTCTAAATAACTTTTCATCTAATGATCGGATCTTCATGCCCAAGGAGACAATCTATGGTTCGTAGGGTGACCCAAATATGATAATTAATTGGTGCAGACGATATTTTAAATTACGAAATCAGACACGAAATTGTAATTTTTTTGAGTAAATATAACTTTTTTCTCGACAGATTTGGATTATTGACCCCTATGGTATAGGGGGTAGCAGCAATCTGGGAAATATGGTCCCTATAGTTTGGTCAGGAGAACGGTTCAAACTTTGAAACCCTTAATGTTAATTTTATTTTTAGCTAATTTCGCCATGTATCAGCGATTTGAAGACTTTTTGCCGACATTAATAAGATTAGTTTATCCAATGATAAGTACATGTAAAATATAACTTTAGGTAAATATGTATTATTTTTTTATTATTTTATTTGATAAAATTCGAAAAACTTTTGAATTGTAAGGTATCCAATTTTTTATGTAACTTTGAAGAATGCAATTTTAAATGGTAAAATACAAAATTTGTGCGAAATCCGCTGAATAGTTCCTGAGAAATTCTTTAAAAAAAGTATTTTTATAGATTGATTTCTTAGGAGCTATTTAAATGATTTCGCTTAAATTTTGCGTTTTGCCAATTAAAATTGCATCTTTTAAAATAATGCAAGAATGTGTAAACCTTACAGTTTTGATTATAATTAAATAAAATAATAAAAAATAATAAATATTTATTAAATTTAATTCTTTGCATGGAATTATTTTCTGACAAACAAATTTTATAATTGCGTTAACATCAAGGGGTTCAAACTTTGGACCGCTTTCATGACCAAACTATTGGGACCATGTTTCCCATATTGCGGCTATCCCGTATATTTTGAGGGTCAGACATCCGAATCTTCTGAAAAAAGGGTACGTTTATTCATAGAAATTGCGTTTCTGTGTCTGATTTCGTAACTTAAAATATCATCTGCACTAATTAATTAACATAGTTGAACTCACACATTCGAACCACTAAGATTGAGTCATTGAACGTGAAGATCCGATCTTTAGATCAAAAGTTACTTAGGGCTGTCTGCTTCCCTTTTTGCGCACTGAACGTTCAGTTTATTTTTCAGAAAATGGAGAAATTACTGAGATGACTACTGTGGAAATCATAGGAACTTTCGAAAATAATCAGGAATCTTCTGAGATGACAACAGAAGAAATCATTGGAACTTATTATGTAGAATTTGGCGAAACTCGTTAAATCTCCAACTAAAGCTAGTTCCAATCAACATATTTTGTTTTTACATTGTTTTCATTAAGGAAAATAAACAAATTAATGCTGTCTGAAGATGAAGTTTATTTTTTCGAATATCTATGACTTTGACCGAAAAATATCTAAAAAAATTTAAACGTAATGTGTGGAAAAATTAATTAAAATGAATATAGAAACATATATGCCTAAATATATTTCACTTTCATTATTTTTGCTTTGTATGATAAAACTACGAGTGAAACAGCAATTGGATACTTGTACTGCAAGAAGAAGAAAAAAACAGCTACCCACACATGTGATTTATGACGTTATCTGATCGTTTATAAGCAAAATGGCTAGTTAAAGTTGAGCTAAGTTTCTTCACACAGGTTGATATATTAGTTAAACTGAAGTTTATTAAATACAGTGCTGTATCGCACATCGAATTTGTTTAAATATAATTCCTTCTCGTCTAAGTTTTTTATTATACTTAGATTTATTATTTGTTTATGTATTTCATTGAAACCGTGATATATTTTTGTTTTGTGTACCTAGCAACTTCGATGACCAATTAGTTTGCTTATGTTCTACATGGCTTATGTTCTACTGTCTTTGTTAAGTAAGAAATCTATATGGCAGTTGTAAAAATTATTGGCATAAAAAATTTATAGGTTGCGTGGAACAAATTTTTAAATTTAGTTTTGATACTCTCCCTTATAAAGCTTATTCAAATTTTTCTTAAACAAACTCTAGTTTTGAATCTCAGTACTAAAAAACATTTATTGCTTTTTATTATGTAATTTACTAATACTATATAAATTTTTTAATTAGTAAGGTATATATATTATTAAACCAATTTAAATCACGTTATTTTAAATGACGGTGAAATCAAATATTGTTTCTTTACTCAAACTACCTAGGTAATCAGCTAATTACCTAGGTAGTTTGAGTAAAGAAATTACCTAGATAATCAGCTAATTACCTAGGTAATCTGTTAGATGCCTAGATAATATGCTTATTATATAGATCAGTGTTTCCCAAAGTGTGGTACGCGTACCCCCAGGGGTACGGGAGCAGTTTAGCGGGGGTACGCGTTTTTTTGCGAAATATCTTGCAACAAACGAAAATTTTCGAAAAATTTATTTAAAAACAAAACTAGCCATAAAAATTTACGATTACGTATTTTTCTATTGGCTATTTATTGCAGAGTTAACAGTTAATAAATAGTGGTGTCAACAGCCAGTTGTGATTTTTAACTTTTAATCAATTTTTTTTTATCACAGCAAAAACAATATCATCCTTCTCACTGATGCAAATTTACTAATTAACAAAATTTCGTACCAAAAAAGAAAAATAAACATATTTTTTAAAAAGTGCTTTCATTTTTTCATTAGTGGTACGCAACGTTACGAAAAATTTAGTAAGGGTACACAAAAGTCATACGTTTGGGAAACACTGATATAGATAATCTGCCAGATGCCTAGATAATCTGCTAATTATATAAGTAGTCTGCTATTTACACAGATATTCAGCACATTGCCAACTTGGTACTCGTCAAAGTATAGATAAAGCCTTTGCTGCATCAGCAGCGTTTCCATACGCTTAAATTAACATGACATTATTTATTTATTTTTCGATATCTATGGTCTTCGATATCTATTCGATCAACAAACTAGATGATAGAATCAACCATGAATAAATTTTAAAAAAAAACACTATTAAATTATTTATAATATATTTATTTTATCTCTGAAGAATCACGTCAATCAAACATTCCACAAAGTAGTTGATAGTAGAGAAACTTATGAATTTTAAAGACACAAAAGTTGTTAATGTGTACACTCTTCAGGCGAAATGCGGAAAATTCTTGATGTGTATTTTTCAATTTTAGATGTTTAGTGCTCTGAAGTTACTGCTGGGGTATTTATTGCAGCTAAGCATACCTAGCAGGAGGCTTCCAATCCTTAGTGTTACTCAATACTGATCCAAATTCCCTGGTAATGTTGTCGCTGGTATTATAGAGTACTTTATACCTTTCAGCCGCATCTGAAAAATAACAACAATGGCAAAAGGCGTGACAAAAATTTTACAAACAAATTAAATGCATCAAATTGCAAATATGTGTTAGCTGAGTTAAATAATTGAGTCTGTTCCCCGGCAAGGTGTTTTTGGATTCCACTCAAAATTTCTTCACTTTTCAAAAATTTATCGTTTAATGGTAGTTAATCATTTAACTGTTAATTTTTAGGTTGATTTTATTCATAATTCTTACGTGAAGTCATTATTCTTTACTAAATAATTCTTTAGCAATATTTTGAATATTTCTTACAGAAAAAAAACTGAAGTCTGAAATCTAATATAATCTGAAGTATCTTAGAAAATACAAAATACATTTCACGATTTTTGCAATTTTGTGGTACGTTTCCCTTGAATATGGCTTGATCGTTCTACTTTAAAAGCATCAATCTAATTCTCAGTTTGTTAATGCATATGTTGCCTAAATTTTCGCTTTGATGAAAAAGTGACAAAAAAGTATTGGCGGCGCAGCGTTGGAAAATATTTTGTATTAAAATGAAATGCTTGTTTTCAAAATAATTGAATTTTGCACAAAATAGTTTTCTTGCAACAAAAAGAAGAAAAAAGAAAAAAATTTTGGAACGAATTTGAAAGGAGGCGGGATTTGACGTCATGAAATACGTCATCACTGTCCCTGTCTATTTCTTGGACAGGGAAATCCCGCCAATTTCTCGGATTCAAGAACTTGGACCGTGTAAACAGGCCTCTAGAGAAGTCTTGAGGCAAGAGATTTTCGTTTAATGCAGCAAAAGAAAATTTTGAGCTCTATTGGTTCGCTACATGGCCTATTTTTTCCCCATACCATGGGAATTTAAAAAATGTCCAAAACGTTGGAAAATTTCTTTTATATATAATTGTTTCATTTATGTTTGATCCCCCCTCGTATTATTGTATTATCAACCTAGTATGATAACATATTTGAAATTACCTATAATCATTTTATAAGTTGTTGGCACTTCCCTCTCGAAAGATTTTTTGCCTGGAGGTGGATCCGTTCTGGTAAACTGCTTAGCAACTTCTTTAGTTATCAGTTTACTGGTAGCACGTCTCAAAAAAGAGTAGACGGATTTTGCCTCTTTAAAAAAGAGATATAGAGAGAGCTCCTGAAAAAAAAAGAATAATAAATTTAATGCAGCCTTTCATTCAGATTAAATTTTAAAAAAAATCGACAAAATAGCAATTTTTGTTTCCAAATGAAGCTATTAAGCACTTTCGATTTTCTAAAGCTAGGATTGCCTAAATTTTAAGGTAGCAAACTAACAACCGAGCAACGTTTCCAACATGCTTTCCAATGGAAAATTGATTGTCACCTATTTCTTGCAGTATTAGAAAACTAAGAAATACATCATATTTCACCCATTTATGTTTTTTTTTCCTTCAAATTAAAGAGCCATTTTCCCAATGTAAACTTACACAGAATTCTTTACATTGATGTTTTTGTTTTTAGTTTAAGGATTACTGTTTGAAATGCTCGTCTCTGGTATTCTCTGCAATGTTTTATTTTTTTTTAAAAGTAAGTTATTATTGCCAGATGTTCCTTTTACTGGTGTGTTTTTGAGTGTAAGGTCTATTGCCCGGTACTTCCTAGATTGGCATTTATTTCTATTCTTAACTGTGCAAAATTCGTAGCCATGCAAAATAATTATCCCGGCTATTTAAAAAATAATGATTATAATAATGTAAAGGAAAAATTAAAAATAAGTAGGGCAAACTCAAAACTTCGAAACGCTTTTAAATGCCTACTGTATTTAAAAGAGTTAATATTTTATTTTAGTAATCAAAATTCTAAAATTAGAATTAATTTTTGTCTGCCATATCTATAGCAAAGAAAAAAAAATGCCAACCCGGATCTTACTTTTTCTTTAACAACAAAAAATATGGAACAGTCCACATATAAGGAGGGAACTAGGAATTGAATTACTGCAAGCTTTTTGTTTAGCAGTAAGTTGTTTAGTAGTTAATTGTTGTTTAATTGTTAGTTGTTCAGTACTTGTAAGTAATCTTGCCTCTCGGAAAACATCAGGGGTTCCACGGAAACACGAAAAAATATTAAAACAAAAAATATTAACAAAGCAAATAAGTGTATTCAAGTGACTCAAAATAAATGTTAATGCCTGAAAAGAGCTCTTTGTGACAATCTCCGAAAGATAAAGACAACGTCAAATAATTGTCAGAGTACGCTAAAGACGATGCTATCAATGATTCACTTAAATTAGAAAAAATTAAGCTATCAATGATTCACTTAAATTAGAAATACCGCCACGAATATTTAAAAAAAAATTAAGCATCTCAAACAAACGAAACCTCTTCTAATTTTTTTAAAGCTAATTAATTTTTATGATATATGTTATATTCAAACTTAAAACAAAAAACACAATTGTTATTTATTTAATAGTTCTGTCATTCATAATTGGCCTATACATTTTCTACACACAATTTTATTAGTAAAGGTAAATTTTATTGACTCTAAATTTTATTCATCAATCCGGTTTTCATAAGGCCAACACAAGTGGTCCGCATATTCCAACTTAAACAAAAAACATAATTGTTATTTAATTAATAGTTCTGTCATTCATAATTGGCTTATTCATTTTCTACACACAATTTTATTAGTAAAGGTAATTTTTATTGACTCTAAATTTTATTCATCAATCCGGTTTTCATAAGGCCAACACAAGTGGTCCGCATATTCCAACTTAAGCAAAAAACATAATTGTTATTTATTTAATAGTTCTGTCATTCATAATTGGCTTATTCATTTTCTACTCACAATTTTATTAGTAAAGGTAATTTTTATTGACTCTAAATTTTATTCATCAATCCGGTTTTCATATGGCCAGCACAAGTGGTCCGCATATTCCAACTTAAACAAAAATCATAATTTTTATTTATTTAATAGTTCTGTCATTCATAATTGGCTTATTCATTTTCTACACACAATTTTATTAGTAAAGGTAATTTTTATGGACTCTAAATTTTATTCATCAATCCGGTTTTCATAAGGCCAACATAAGTGGTCCGCATATTCCAACTTAAACAAAAAACATAATTGTTATTTATTTAATAGTTCTGTCATTCATACATGGCTTATTCATTTTCTACACACAATTTTATTAGTAAAGGTAATTTTTATTGACTCTAAATTTTATTCATCAATCCGGTTTCATAAGGCCAACACAAGTGGTCCGCATATTCCAACTTAAACAAAAAACATAATTGTTATTCATTTAATAGTTCTGTCATTCATAATTGGCTTATTCATTTTCTACACACAAGTGGTCCGCATGAAGAAAATGACAAGTAAAATTAAAAAAATCTTGTACCTTTGATAACTCTTTGAAGTCAATGAAGGTAACCCCTAAGAACGACGAACCCCCATTAACAACCATTTTACTGTGGAACAAAGAGTGGTCGCTCCCGAGAGGATTCACTGTATTAGTAAATATTTTATGTAGCCAAGAAATTCAATAACTCTTCCAAATCTTGTCCAGTCTGTCTTATTATTAACCGAAACGAATACATTTTACTAATTATTAATAAGGGAGATATAACGAACAGTGATTTGACCGAATAGCCGAATAAACGGAGATCAAATAGCAAATTTAAAAAAAAAAATTATTTTTCATACGCAAAAAGGTTTTGTTTTTATTAAAAATTGATCAAAACTTAGCTATATTATTGGTATGGAGTTAAGGCACAAAATATAATAGTTATCCATTTGAAATGTTTTAGATAAATAAAAAACAAACAGCTAAGAAAAAAAATTAAGTTATGAAGTTGAAAACAAAAAGAAAAAGAGAAATAGCAAAAAATTCTCTATTCTTATGTCGAAACTTTAATGTTAAAAATAATATTTTCCGAAAAAAATATACAAGGAATACAATCTATCAGAAACACTTTTGAAAATGCCGCGCTATCATAAAAATGCCCACGAAAACAAAAGATTATATACAAAAGCGAAACAAAAACTAAAAATCGATCTAAGTTGAACATCTCAGTTTTCCAATTAGAGAATGATGCTTGNTAAAAAAAAAAAAAAAAAAAGAATTAAGCCTAATAGAAACCCTTTAAATTGTTGCGCCATAATAAAAACGTCTTTTAAAAAATAAAAAGCTAGATAGAAACCCAAACAAAAATCGTTCTTAGTTTTTAAAAAAAAATTAACGTAAAAAATCTCAATTTAACTTTTTCAAATTAGAAAAAAGTTAAAAAAGTCTTTAAAAAATTGATGATCAAAGAATAACGTTCAATAGAAACGCTTTTTAAAAAATACTATGTCATAATAAAAACGCTGGTAAAAAGAAAAGTTAATAAAAAAGACAAAGGAGGAAATTTTTTTTTTCTCATTTATTAGAATATAACTTAAACGTTGAAAAAATCACAGCTTTTTTGTTACCGTTATCTGTCTTACAGTACAAGAAAGAAGTGACAGAATACAATCTATCATAAAATGTTCTTTAAATCGCCTCGTGCTATAATAAAATGTAAAAAACGACATAAAAAAACCTTTTCAGTTCTTAAGGCAAAAATGTTGAAAAAACAACGACATTGACTTGATTGAATAAAATTTGAAAAAAAAGTCGCCTGCACGAAACACGTGGTTAAGTTTAAAATAATCTAGTTTCAGTTCTTGAAATTACGTTTTCCATTTGTCTTCCAGAACATAAATTTACAAGCACATGAATTTTGAAACTTAGCAAATACATGTAAAAACTATATATGATAATGTATAGTGTAATTACTATTTTGCATTATATAAACAATTAAAATTCTGAGAAAATATTTTTTGTCAATAAATATTTTTCCAAAAAATATTTAGCCGAACATTGGGCCGAATATTTGGCCAAACATTCAGCCTACCGAATAATCGGCAAACGAGCCTAATTGGCTGAATACCGAATATTCGTTACTGCCCTAAGTAAATTGCTCTCGGGAAAGAGATAAATTTTACTAATTATACATACCAACTCTTCTCGCAACACGTTGTCATTTCTTAATTTCTGATCCAACACTTTGAATGATTCAACCGAAACAACAGGTAGTTCTCCTAATTGATTTATAAGTTCTCTAATCGAACGATCTTGTGTATTCATATTCGCCATTCCTCTAGTGATATTTTCTGTTGCAGCATCACCTAATAAAAAAGTTTTTAAAAAAATTACGATTTTTTTTTAATATTTTTTTATTGTCAGAACTGTTTATGTGAGTCTGATTTATGAGTTTCTAAAGTTGTAAGAGTAAAAAAGAAAAAAGAAATAAATGAAATATATCTATTATATATAATTCTCTTACGTGGCTCCCAAATTTTGGTTGTATTTCTTTTCCGCCGGTGGCGACGTTTGCTTTGTTTTGAAAACACCAAAGCATTCTGCCTTTTAATGATGTGTTTCTGATCTAATATATAAAATTCTCTTACGTGGCTCCCAAATTTTGGCTGAAGTACTTTGTACAACTAAATAAGATTCTTTTCACAACACTTAAATATTTACTTTATTTTCTTCACCATATTTTATTGAA